GGGGACGGTTTCAAAAAATAATTAAAAATCGAGGAAATATCCTAGAAAAGCCCTTTTGGCGTGAAAACCCCAAAGAGGATCCAGGCTTCCCGAAACGGAGGTTTCGGGTGCCAGAAAGGTCTGTATCTTGACCCCTGGGGCTTTAGATCCCGAGGGGAAACTTGGAGGGGTGAGCGCCGCGGCGGGAGTGTCCGGCTGCGGCCCACAAGGGCAAAAAACTAGGGGACGTGGTGACGAACTGAGGGAAAGACGAGGACCCGGGAGCCGCCGGAGAGAGGCACGGGGGCTCTGCTCTGATCTCTGCTTTAGGGGTGCCCCGATATCCCCCCTACTCACACCTCCTCCCCCCCTTCCTACCCCACCCAAATCTCCGCACCGAGGAAACTGGAAAGCCAAACTGTAAGTAACCATTGTGAAGTGGGGGTTGGGGGCGAGGGCATTATTAGAAGTGGGGTGGCCGAGATAATGGGGTGCGAAGGGGAGCGGGCGACGTTTTCCAGCCTTTCCAACCAGAGTTTTGCAAAGCAACATGGCGAAACCACGGCAGGTCCAGAGCTGTGCATACGTGGGCACACGGCTTGCTCTCGGCAAAGATTTGGAGCAAGGGTAAAGAAGTGTTTCTTTTGGGTTCCCCTAAAACACACATTTTTCAATATAACTTCCGGGGCTCCTGAATTCCCCGTTTCTCTCCTCCCCCCTCTCCTTTCTACCCCTCCCCCCTTAGTGCCAACGCGGAGTCGCCGACCACATGCGGGAACCTGAGGCTAGGACGAATTTGTTCTGGGTTTTTGGGGGGTCTGCCTTTTACTTTTGGGTCCCGATTTCACGGTCCTGCTCCCTTCTTCACTGCGCGGAAAGCAGCCCAGGTTTCGCACAGGGCAGGTCGGGATGGGGGTGGGAAGAGGCGGCCACATGCGGGCACACGCGCTCGGGATGCGCCCCCACCCCCGCCCCAGGACAGCCTTGTTTCTCCCAGATTTTCCTCTTCCCTCCTCTTCCCCTCCCCCAGTTAATCTTGCATCCTGCAAGGAACAGAAAAGAAGCCACGCGTCTCGCCAAAGGGCGCGAGGTAACCTCGCGCACAAGAGCCGGGAGGCGGGCACGGAGGCTGTCCCCCCCCCCCGAGTTTCAGGGTCCCTGCGTGAGGGGCCGAGAATGCGGGGGAGGGGGGGGGACAGACCGAGCGTCTGTCTGCAGACCTACCTCCAGCATCCAGGTGGCCACCATCCTGCGCATGTAGGGCTGGATGTCCTTCTGCACGCATTTGAAGTAGGAGCACTGGGGAAGGTAGCGCTCCTCGATGGTGAGCAAGTTCTGCAAAACGCGGTCGTCGTAGAGCAGGTTGGCGTCCGGCACGGCCCTGCGGACCCGGTCCATCTCGCAGCAGAGCAGCTCCATGGCCAGCCGGGTGCCCACTCGGTCCCCTGCTCTCTCCGGAATGGAAAAGTTTTTTGGGAGGAGGGAGGAGACAGAGTTCCCCTTACCTCCTTCCTTTGGCTAATAGGGGTTTTCGGGGGAAAGTTAAGGGCAGAGAGAGGAGCTGGGGGAGAAGAGAGGACAGGGACGGGCGGGGGAGAGGAGAGCCTCGGGGGCCGTCGCCTCTGCCTGCTCTCCCCTCCAAACTCGTCTCGCTCGCCCCGGCTCCCTCTCCTCTTCTGCTCTCCGAAGCAGTGACGCAAACTGGCTGGGCAGTTCTCCTCCTTCGCCTCGCTCCCCTCTGGTTCCTCCTCCCCCTTTCCTCCCCTCCCGTCCCTCCCCTCCTCCTTTCAATCTCTCCCTCCCTCCCTCCTTTCCCCTCTTGTTATTAAGGAGAACAGCAGCTGGCCCGACCTAACTTCAAACGCGGTCCCCCCGCCCCCCCCCATCCTTCTCCTTAGCTCTCCGAGGCCCTCTCCCTCCATCCAGCCCCGCATGCCAGGGGCCCCTGATAGGGGAACCCACAAAAAAACCACCGATTCCTACTTATTCCCTCTAATTTCGCACTCTGTAATGCATCATGCCAAAATACGACCCTCCAACTTTGGCTTCTTCTAAACCCATCCTATCACTCCAGCCCACATATTGAAGATTCAGGAATGATGGGTAGATTACTTGAAGATGGGGTGGGCTCAAGACAATTTAGAAATAGATCCCTTAAGTGAAAAATAAGGAGGGCGATTTTAGAAAATTGCAACCTCGCATACCCAGATATAAAGGTTATGTCCCTGATATTTATGTTCCTGATCATTTTCGAAGCTGTTTCAAAAGCCCAATTAAAGGGACCAGAACAACGTCCCCCTGCACCCCTCCCCCCCGCAGAGTGTGTGGCGAAGAAGGGGGGGAGGGTGATAGGAGGGAGGGGGCGGCTTCTCCGACGTGGTAGAATGTGACCCTGAGCAGAAGCCGTCTTGTACTTGGGGGCGCTACGGGCGCCATTGGGAGACAAGGCGAGGCGCCCAGAGCTGTGGCAGGCCGGGGGCAGGGCTGCCAGCGGTTCCTGCGCGGCCAGCGGCCACGCAGGAAAAGCCCGCTTCCTCGCCCTTGCATCTGCTGACAAGCCTCCCGAGGTGTCTGCCGCGAGCGTGGCCACACTGATACAGCTTTCTAGGAAATAGCCCGGGAGGGGGAGGGGAAGGGAGGGGGGCGAAGGAGGGATTAGGTTTGGCTCCCCCTCTCCCCTCCTGCGCAAACACCGCCACTCCTTCCTTTCCCCCGAGGCCCCTGAATTCCACCCCCAGTCCTTCGCCTGCATCCTCGTCGACCCCTCCGGGTGTACGCCTCACTAGCCAGCCAGGCTTTCTCCCCGAGAGCGGGACTGCGGTGGAGACGCTGCCCGCGCAGTTGGCTATGACACGTGCTCAAATGCATCCTCGGGTCAAGGCTGCTTTCACAGGGGATATGGTGGCGTTTCCTCACCTCCTTCCTCCCGCCACCCCCACCCTGCCTTTTAGTGTTACTTCATTTTAGGAGGAAGGGGAGTGAGCCCCGCACCCCCGCGTGTTGGCGGAGCTGGCACGTGCAGCGAGCATGGCGTCGGTCAGGGCTCTGGACACACCGAGGTCCGCTGTGCGCCTCCTCCGAAAAAGGGGGCCGGAGAGCAAGCGGGGCGGGGGGGGGCGCGGGCTGAGTGAGCTGCACACTCGGTTCCCTTGAAAGAAGGGGGGAGGTGGAATAGACAAGGCGGGGAGTGAATAAACCAGAGGTGCTAGCGATTAACTCAGGCCCGGGGGCCAGCCCCTTTAAACGAGGGTGGGGCGGAAGGGGTGGGGGGAGGGGATATCGCTTTAAAAGGGTGAGTAAGAGTTTGGGGCGCCGTCTCCCCTCCCTCTATTTGCATAGCCAATGGCTCTGGGGCTCCTGCTACTGCGCGCTGATTGTTACCGGGCAGATTTTTTTTTTTTTTTTTTTTTTTTTTTTTTTTTTTTTTTTTGTAGTAGGAAGAGTTCCCCGCTACATCAAAAGGAAGCCTAGGCAGGGCGGAGGGAGAGCGGAGACCCGCGGGCGAGGCTGGGGAGCGGCCCGGCGCCTCCGACCTTATCAATAGCCGCGGGAATTAGTATCCAATCTACTGTATAGAAAGGGGAGGGAAGGGGCGGGCGAGGAAAATGTCTAATTGCTGTAGAAGCCATTAGCTTTCAGGAAGAAAAAAAGCTCACTGAAAAACCCAAGTTGCAAACTCAAAATGAAACACTCGGCGATGACAAACTAAAAGTGATGACACTCGGGCTGAGTACGGTGTTCCTTGGAAGAGTAGGTCCCTAACAATCACCTATTGATTTTACTCAACTTGGACTTCCCGACTCAAGCTTGAGTCACTCCGAGTAAATACATTAACTTACGTTTTAAGACCCCCATAAAGGAATCACTGAAACTTCACCTCAGCCACCTTTGAATGGATCAAAGAAAGCTCCTGGGGGATTAGGGGGGAGAGGTATTTTTAAAGTATAAATCTACCCCGACAGGCAAGGACAGACCGGGCGAGGGCTTCCAGCCTCTTGACATCACTTGATAACTAATCGAGCCCGGTGCTCTCTCCACCTCCCTGCAGGGAAAGCAACCCCAGCCCTGGGTCTCCAGGAGGGGGAAGGAGGGCGGGGAAGAGGCGGGTGGTCGTCCTCGGGGCCTCGCCCACCCTGGGAAGAAAGCCTGGGTGGCGAACCCTCAAGTCTCTGGCCCTCTAGCCCCTTCCCTCCACTCCTACCCTTATCCCCATCAGGCTTTGCAGAGAAATTCCGGCGGGGTGGGGGCAGAGGTGCCTGCGCAGGGGAGGGGCGCGGGCGGATGCCCCCGTCTCAATCTAGCCAGACCCGCGAGTTTGGACGCTTCCCGCGTGGCAGGCTGGCCTTTGCAAGTTCCCCCATTCACTTCCCCTTCCTATTACGGACTGCTCCTGAATATCAACTTCGCAACGAGTCCGTCCCCCAGCCGTGTTTCAGTCTCCAACACGTGGGGTGGGGCGCGAAAGGGCGCGGAGGTTGGCAGGAATGTCTCTGGGAGGCTTGGACTGGAAACCAAGTTTTCCCTTTTGGTCGCCACTCCGACTATGTATTGAATCCTTAATTTTGCTGGGTAAAAAGCATTCCCAGAGCCGCGGGTAAACGCACGTTGCCTTCTGGGCAAAAGTGCGCGCTTTCTTTGAGTGTAGACATATAGAGAAAAATCAAGAGCTTTTGCTCTGGCTTTTAAGTCAAAACTGGTCACTGTTGGGGATGGGGGGGAAGGGGAAAAGAAGGCTGTTAGTTCTTCCTTACCCCTTTTTCACCCCTCAAGGCAAAAAAACTATGCTGCTCTTTGTAGGATCGGTGATAAACTTGAGCGAACGCAAGTTTTATTGGACTTTTCCCCCCCTCCCTTGCCGGCTCCCCACCCCTACTCTCCGCGTTTTGGAGTTTCGGTTGGAAAGTGTACAAAACCCTGTAGGTGCAGGGTGCAGCCGGGTGTTGGGTGTTTATAGGCACATTTCTGCAGGAACCTGCAACGCTAAGCACACATACTCCCAAGCTCACCTGGCGGGTGCCGGCCAGCTAGGTGATCGCGCCGTCGGCTCCAAACGTTGGAGTCGCGCGAGTTCGAGCCCTGCTGCCTCCGCGTCCCAGCACTCAGGCCGTGTTGTGGGAAGGGAGTGAGTTCAGACTCAGGAATGGGGGCCATTGCCCTCCCCCTACTCCCTCCAAAGTGTAGAACTGTGTATATGTTTCTCCATTGAGGGATGAATGGTCAGACAACCAGAACCGAAAACCCGACAGTTACTTAAAAGCGGATATCGAAGTGTCCCTGTTTTGGCTCCGAGCTCACGGAATATCGGGAAGGAACAGAAGGAGGTACAGAAAGAGGAATTGGGGATCAATAGGAAGGGAATGAGAGCAAACTAGAAAAAATGTGGGGAGAAAAAAAAAAAGGAAAAGTCGGCAACTGGAGAACACAGGGCAAGGTGGGTGGGTAGGAACAAGCCGACAGGAGAGTCCCAGAAGCCTGGGCACTGTGATTCCAGGTGTGAATAAGCTTCCGGGGCCCTCTCGCCGCCGCCCCCCGCCAGTCACGTCCCCGGGGCACTGGGGATCCGGCAGGGGACACAGTACGGCCCGGCCTGCGCATTCAAACTGCCCTTGCGGCGCGCTGCAGCTCGGGGCTGTGTGCCTGGGGCAGCAGATGCGATAGGCGTGGGTTAGGAAGCACTGCGCCTGCCGTCTGTTCACCCACCTAGCATCTTATGCCCCTCCCTTGGAAAAAAAATAAAAAGTAAAAAAGACCCGAACTTCCCCCTCTTCCTGTCTGATTCAGCTGCAGGACACGCCTCACACGGCCGAAAATAGCTCTGGAAATGCATTAGCTTTATAAAAGTGAATTTTCCAATACGATTTGGGGCGGGGGGCGTCTGGCTCCCGGCGTCGGCTGGGCCCTGCCCCCCGGGAGGAAAAGGAGCGGGCCTTCTGGGTCCCTCGCCCTCCCTTAGGCGCGCGGGGAGGGGGCCGCTGGGCGGCTGAATCGCGCCTCCGCTCGGGGAGCCACCACGCGGCTTTTTCGCGGAATTTTGACGTCATCCACACGTGGGGGAAGGGGCTGGGAGAGCGAGAGGAAGCGGCGGGGGAGGGGGCC